GGATAGGAAGCCTATTAGGAGAAAAGGCCCCACTTCCCAGGAGTCTGGGGAATTCCCTTCCCCAGTAAGTCTGTCTTAAATTCCTCTCTCTGGGAAGAAACCAAAGTACATTGGCTAAAGACTTAGGCATTTGCAGGAGTTGAATTTCTGTGGCTGACAGTATGAGTTCTTTGTGGCTCTTCTGGAACTCTGTGCTTTCAGTGATGGGGGAAATGAGGGATGTGGGCTTCATATTTGTATAGAGACAAAACTTTTTAAAATAGGACATCAAAAAAACATGAAGGAGATTGGTGCTGACATCCCCATATCACTCATGGAACTGTTTGTGTATCTCATCTCTTGTCATGAAACTGGAGGGTTTGTTTAACCAGTTAGTTTTGTAGTAATTAAAATCTTGGAGAGACCGAGGGGCCATAGACTTCATGGTAGTGTCTCACTCAGTCCACCTGCAAACATAGGGCTTCTTCCGAGTGTGTCCTCTGGTGTCTGATGAGAACTGACTTCTGTATAAAGCCTCGCCCACACTCCCTGCAAACAGGGCTTCTCCCCTGAGTGTGTCCTCTGGTGTGTGATGAGATTGGACTTCCTTGTAAAGCCTCTCCTACACTCCATGCAAACATAGGGCTTCTCCCCTGTGTGTGTCCTCTGGTGTCTGATGAGAACTGACTTCTGCGTAAAATCTCGCCCGCATTCCCTACAAACATAGGGTTTCTCACCTGAGTGTGTCCTCTGGTGTGTGACAAGATGTGACTGCTGTGTAAAGCCTCGCCCACACTCCCTGCAAACATAGGGCTTCTCCCCTGAGTGTGTCTTCTGGTGTCTTCTGAGAACTGACTTCCAGGTAAAGCCTTTCCCACACTCCTTGCAAACATAAGGCTTCTCCCCTGAGTGTGTCCTCTGGTGTCTGATGAGAACTGACTGCTGTGTAAAGCCTCTCCCACACTCCCTGCAAACATAGGGTTTCTCCCCTGAGTGTGTTGTCTCATGTATGATGAAAACTGACTGCTGTCTAAATCCTTTCCCACACGCTCTGCAAACATAGGGCTTCTCCTCTGTGTGTGTCCCCTGGTGGGTGATGAGAACTGACTTAAATGTAAAGCGTTGCCCGCACTCCCTACAAACATAGGGCTTCTCCCCAGAGTGTATCCTATGATGTCTGATGAGAACTGACTTCCGTGTAAAGCCTCGCCCACACTCCCTGCAAATATAGGGCTTCTCCCCTGAGTGTGTCCTCTGGTGTGTGACAAGATGTGTCTTCTGTGTAAAGCCTCGCCCGCACTCCCTGCAAACAAAGGGCTTCTCCCCTGAGTGTATTCTCTGGTGTCTAACAAGAATTGTCTTGCATGTAAAGCCTCTCCCACAAACCCTGCAAACATAGGGCTTCTCCCCTGAGTGTGTCCTCTGGTGTGTGATGAGATTTGACTTCCAGGTAAAGCCTTTCCCACACTCCCTGCAAACATAGGGCTTCTTCCCTGAATGTATTCTCTGGTGTCTAACAAGAATTGTCTTGCATGTAAAGCCTTTCCCGCACTCCCTGCAAACATAGGGCTTCTCCCCTGAGTGTGTCCTCTGGTGTATGACAAGATGTGACTGCTGTGTAAAGCCTCGCCCGCACTCCCTGCAAACATAGGGCTTCTCCCCTGAGTGTGTCCTCTGGTGTGTGATGAGAACAGACTTCCAGGTAAAGCCTTTCCCACACTCCCTGCAAACATAAGGCTTCTCCCCTGAGTGTGTCCTCTGGTGTGTGATGAGATTTGACTTCCAGGTAAAGCCTTTCCCACACTCCCTGCAAACATAAGGCTTCTCCCCTGAGTGTGTCCTCTGGTGTTTGATGAGAACCGACTTCCAGGTAAAGCCTTTCCCGCACTCCCTGCAAACATAAGGCTTCTCCCCTGAGTGTGTCCTCTGGTGTGCGATGAGATATGACTGCTCTGTAAAGCCTCGCTCACACTCCCTACAAACATAGGGCTTCTCCCCTGAATGTGACCTCTGGTGTGTGATGAGATTTGACTTCCGTGTAAAGCCTCGCCCACACTCCCTGCAAACATAAGGCTTCTCCCCTGAGTGTGTCCTCTGGTGTATGACAAGATGTGACTGCTGTGCAAAGCCTCGTGCACACTCCCTGCAAACATAGGGCTTCTCCCCTGAGTGTGCCCTCTGGTGTATGACAAGATGTGACTGCTGTGCAAAGCTTCGTGCACACTCCCTGCAAACGTAAGGCTTCTCCCCTGAGTGTGTCCTCTGGTGTCTAATGAGAAGTGACTTGTATGGAAAGCCTCGCCCACACTCTGTGCAAACATGGGGCTTCTCCCGTGAGTGTGTCCTCTGGTGTCTAATGAGAAGTGACTTGTGGGGAAAGCCTCGCCCACACTCTGTGCAGACATAGGGCTTCTCCCCTGAGTGTGTCTTCTGGCCTCTGATGAGATGTGACCTGTCAACGACGTTTTGCCAACACCCTCCGTGCTCAGTTGTTACAGTTCTTGACATTCCTACTTTCAGAAATACCTTGTCTGTGTCCTCTGGACCCTCTTTCTGGCCTCTATGGGACTCTTCCTCCATCATTCTCTCATGCTCACTAGAGCTCGTCATTTGTTCTTTGGAAGGTTGGAAAAAGGGTTTTGAGATTCTCTCTTGTGTGATTCTTTTAAGCAAAGGTTTGGACCTTTGTTTAGCCTCTTGACCTTCAGCTTTATCATTCCAGCTGTGCGTACTAGTATGTTGCTGCTGCTGATTCTGATCCTCTGGGCAGGGTTCCTCTGCTTGGAGATGTTTTCTTGCAGATGTTCCTGGGAGAATCTGAAAGGGATGATTGAGTTTCACATCTTGGCCAAGGCATTTCTGACTGGAGAAGGCCAGAGAACAGGAGGAACATGAGTGCACCTCTGGCTTTGGTTCCGCTGAAAGAGAAAGGTTTGGTCAGGGCAGATGTTGACAAGAATGCCTGGGCCATATGATTAGTTTCCTGGTAAGACCTGCCCCATGAGTCCTTCTTACTATGGTGACAACACAAGCTCTCTCTCCAACAAAGTGTCTACTCGCCGTCTATTTTCCTTTTCACTTTTTGCGGTTCATTGTCTTCAGAAATCTAGAAAGCCTACATCAAGGGTCTTTTCTAATAATGCCCAGACTAGGGGATTTCAAGGAGCATGAGAGAGGCCATTTCACTCCCTGTGTGGATGGAACTGTAGTGAACTTTCCTTCTATCGGTATCTTCTAAGTCATGTTAAAGAGGAAAACCATAGGCCCAACTAGGCATTGCTTCTCTCTGGTTTCCAAAACAGTAAAATAAAATGAACTTCCTGCCCTTGCTCGTGTGACTCAGTGCATTGAGTGCCAGCCTGTGAAGCAGAGTCAGAGGTTCAATTCTCAGTCAGGGCACATGCCTGGGTTGTGGGCCACGTTTCCAGTAGGGGGCTTGTGAGAGGCAACCAGGCATTAATGTTTCTTTCTCCCTCTTCCCCTCTAAAAATAAATATATAAAATCTTTTTAAAAAGTCCTTCCTCAAGCCACACACCAGATATTTATGCTTCATTTCATTCAACATTAGCCCATTTCAAATATACTGAGAAGTCCTGTTTCAAAATATTTCTCCAACCACACATCTTACACACCTGACTCCTGTTCCTCTGGCCAATCTACCATGCGCTCTCACTTGGAGATGAAGTAATTAATATGAGGGGATTCCTCACTGGAGTTTATTTTCTAAAAATTAACAAAGCCTAATCAGAACAGAGAACACACCACTCTACAGCTGACAACTGTACACTTTCACTCAGGAAAGTCCCAAAGTCTCAATTCAGATCAACACTGCATTTCCGGGCTGATAAGCATCTGTCTGATCTCCATTCTTATCCTCTACGCTGAGATGAGACCCAAGTGACCCTCAGCCAATCCAATGCCACACCTCTTTTCTTCCCTGCACTAGCTGCTCCCTCTGCCTGGGATCCTTTGCCTGCAGTATTGTTGTAAATGTTATCTCCTGATAGCCCTTCCCGGTCCACCTGCCGCACCGCACTTCCCCCCACACTGATCCCTAGGTTCTTGTCCTAGATTAGTTTTCTCCAAAGCACTAACCGCTGTGTAGTGTAATGCACATTCAAGCACATGCGTCTGGGTTTCTCTCCTTCATCCGTCAGCTCCTCAAGAGCAGTGATTCTGATCCTCATGTTAATCTGTATTTCCAGGTCCCAGGATGCTGTGCGCCACAGAGTAGGATCTTACATGACAATTCACTGAAATAATGAATGAATGCGCCCTGCCTGAATGGTGTGGCTTGGTGGGTTGGGTGTTGTTTGAAAACTGAAAGGTTACAAGTTTGATTCCCAGTCAGGGCACATGCCAGAGCTGTTGGCCAGTTGGGGTTGGACCACAGACAAGCGATTAGTATTAGTATGTCCCTTGCAAACCGGTTTTTCTTTCTCCTTCCTTTCCACCCTCTGTAAAAATAAATAAAATCTTGTTTAAAAGTATTTATGTATTTATTTATTTTCAGAAAAGGGGGAAGGGAAGGAAGGAGAGGGAGAGAAACATCAATGTGTGGTTGCCTCTCACATGCCCCCTACTGGGGACCTGGGCCAAAACCCAGGCATGTGCCCCAACTGGGAATCAAACTGGCAACCCTTTGGTTCATAGGCCAGCGCTCGATCCTCTGATCCATACAAGCCAGGGTGAAATCTTTAAAAAATAATGAATGCCTATCAACAAAAAATGTTTTATTTAGAAGTATGGAGGGAAATTAAGAAGAAACAGCTGTAAAAGTGTCAGAAAAACTGCCTTGGTGAGAACTTGTTAGTGCTTGAAAACTTTTTTTCCCTCGCCTCTCAGTCTTTTAGCACTTTATGTGGTTGTGTATTCTGTTCATGAAATATTTAAAAAATAAAAATATAAAAATTTTGCCTAAGAGTCAAAGGCATAGGAATGAATTGTGAATTTCTGAAGCATGTGATTTGAAACTTTACTGACTTCAGAGTGGATTTTACTCCACGTAAGAGTTGGGTCATGAATATTTCTATGGAGAATTCTCTCTTTTCTTTCTGTTTTGAAGAACAGTGGTGCCCACCTCTCCCGGCCGCGAGCTCTGTCTTCCACTCGCTGCCCCACTTGCTGCCCAGCTCCTGGCCATACTCATCCCCGAACCAGACCAGCAGCTCACAGCCTGGCCTGACGACCCGGCAGGTTCGGTAGAAAATCTGCCCATGGTATTGAAAGGCCACCAGGTTCTGCTCTTCATCATCCCGGGCACAGTTCACAAACCTGGGATCGAGGCAGATGAAGAGAAAGAAAATCACAGTAATGAATTCCCAGTACCTTAACATCCATGTCCAGCTCCTCACTGATTCTTAAAACTCTCAGGCTCTGGTGTTGCCCACTGCCCGCAGTGTTCCCAGGGAACCTTCTGTTCAGTGTCTGAGCATCTGCCAGCATGTCATGTGAATTCCTACCTCCAAGTCCTGCTTGCAGTGTTTATCCTGCCTAATACCATTTTCTAAAACCCAGTTCTAGACTTAACCTCCACCCTGATTGGCCATAATATCCAGCGATATTTTGCTTCTCCAAGTTCAAAATCAAGTTGTCTTACACCACAGAACCTAGTCCTTGATCTAGGGCTCTGCTTCTAAATTAGTTCACTAATTATCCAGTACTCAGCCCATGTCTGTTTTCTCTTGAGAAGCCTTTCTCCAACCCCCATACACTTTATTTAGGGTGCATGCCGAAGGATAGCACAGAAAATCGAAGGTCTTTTTGTCTTAGTATGATAAATCAGAACAATAGTGGTTGATTCACATTCTGTTATCCCTGATAGAAGAGAGCCCCTCTCAGGAAAGGGGACCATAACCATTCCTCTAGAGCCCAGCTCTAGTCTGAAGTGAGGCTGGGATGGTTTGCTGCCCGCACAGGTTTAGGCCACCCTTGGTTTGTGCTATCTTGACACTATGCACTTCTTGGAAATTACAGTTAAATGTTTCTAAAAGCAATTGTTTTATGTCTGTCTGTGAGAAGTCATTCATAAGGACATGGGTTGTGTGATCTGTGTAATATATTCCTTCATCTAAACTGGAATGTAGTAAGTGCTTAATTAATGTTCATGTGATAAATAGAAGCATAATCCAGTGTCCCTGGTGAATCTGGGCTCTTCAAGGACCTTTCTAGTGCCCATAGTGTTTCTAATAGAGAACTTTATATTTTGAGGACATATGCTATACTTTTTCCCTAAAAGTCCCCTGAAATGAAAGAACACTGTATGGAGAAAAACAGGGGAAAAAGATTGAGGGAGACCACTGAGGGAGGCATGATGAGAGGGACAGATATATGGGCTTGTGGGGGATGAGAGTCCCCTCTGGCACCCAGAGACCTATTGACCTCACCTCATCCAGTTGGCCCAGGATCTGTCCTTTCCATCCACATACTCATAGCAGTTTCTCCCTTTGGTGATCTGTGTTTCAGAAAAGAATTTGCAGAGCTTTTATTTTGTGTGTGTGGCGGTAACAGAAGAATTATTTTATTCCACTGTCGTCAAAACTCTTTCTGCCTGCATGGGGATTCTACTGCCAATTGTGACCACATGATATTTTTCCTACTCATCACCTACACAGCCGAGTCTACCTGTCCAATCAGAGCAGGAGCCCCACAAGGGAGGAGCCACTCCTTTGTGTCTGTACCACTTTGCTCCCACTTACCTTCTGATCCTTCAGGAGCTCTGTGTCCATGTAAAGTCCAGTCAGTACACAGAGCTGACCACATTGTCCCCTCCATGCCTAGCACGTAAGAGGAGAGGTCCCCCCAAGCCTCAGAAGAAATGTGGGAAGCCAGAGGACAGTGGAAGAAGTAAATATTTCTCACCAGCCAGGAGTATCTGCTGTTGGCTGCCTCCTCATCTTCTGTGATGTGTCCTTCATAAGGGCCAAAGTGCAGACCCACAGGCAAATCAGCTGCCTCATTCCACACTCCAAGCCCAGCCTCAGGGATGCTGGACGGCCCGATTCTCAACCCAGGGGGCAAGGTGAGGGCTGAGCGGTGGGGATGCCCCTTGTCCACTGCACTGTCCTTTACAAACGTAGGGGGCCCATGCACAGCACAGCTGTCGATGAAGAAGTTCTGACATTTCTCACAATCTGGAGGTGAGAGCAACAGGGGTTGGGGAAGGTATAGCGCATGTTCCTGGACACAAAGGGCTTCAGAGGGAGTCTGGCACTGACATCAGTGAGACTCAGTCCTGTACTCCAGGTCACTACAGGAAGGGAATGATTTGGGGACCAAAGGACTAGATGGAATTATTGTAGCATAATACACTGTTGTGGACCACTCTGCCTGGTTTCAGGAATTGTTAACTACTCCCCATGGCTAAGGATGAGTGAGTGACCTCTGCATGCGAGCCACAGGAGACAAAGCCTATCTCTGGTAGTGAATGTTGCCTGTTTCCTCCCTGCCCTCAAAGCATGGTCGGAAGTCAGAGACAGGCAAGACCCCTCAGGGGAGGGGCAACCTAAGCCACACTCGATCACTTGGGAGGCCATCATGGAAGGACTCGGAGGTCTGCAACAAAAAGCGAGCAAGAGATCATTACCCCCAAGCTATGTGACATAGCCTGAGTCCCCATGTCCTCTGGGAGAAGCACTTCCTGGCTCTAAGCCACTTAAGCCTGAATACCTGATGGGGAGGGGTGCAGCTCCTTGCCTTGCCAGAGCAGATCCCAGGGAAAAATCTGGCATCACAAAGAATTCCTCAGAATCCTGTGAAACCTGCTCTGCTTAAGAGTGCTTTCATTCATGTAAAGGGTCCAAGCAGGAAACCCTAAACTTTTTGCAAACTCCCTTCCTGACAGACTCTGACTCAGACTAAGCCCTCAGATTTCTTTGAAATGTTATCTACTGTTTGATTCTTGTCGCCCTGTATTCCTGTGTATTACAACCCAATAAAATCCCCTGGAGGAAGGGGATTGAGGCCCTTCCCTTTTGAGGGATCGGCCACCTCTGCTCCCCAAGCAGACCATGTCTTCGTAGTGTTTACTTTCATCCATGGCGGACGGGGGGACTTGCAGCAAAAGTTGCCCCCACAATACACTTCTTAGTGAGGGTCACTTACAAAGGTAGTCATCATCCTGGGGCTCATTGACCTCTTGATACATGTGGTCCTTTCTTTCTTGTAGGCTGTACATCTTCACTTCCATCTCCTTTCTCCTGAGTTCTAAATTGGAAAAGAGCAGGTGAGCAAGGTTGGTGGGGTCTGGAGTGTTAGTTCCCATTTTGTCAGATAACACAACCTCCTCCCATCAAATTATTATCTTCCCTTTTGCATACTCTGGTATTTTACTCCATTAACTATTGGTTCAGAAGACTAAGATGCCACACTAACTACAGATGACTGATTGAATTTTAGTTTCTAGATCTTCCCATTACTAGTTTTAACTTGCCAACCTTTAATCAGTCATAACATATTTATTGAGTGCACTTTGTGTGTTAGGCATTGAGTAAAGGCCTGGGCACACAGCACCAATAAAGTGTGGTTGCTATGATCATGTATGCATTTATTGGACAACTTGCATGTGTCAATTGTTTTTAATTTAATTTAATTTAATTTAATTTAATTTAATTTAATTTAATTTAATTTAATTTAATTTAATGTTTTCAAACAATATATGAGTGATGTTTCCTTATCTTCTCTTTACACATTAGCATTCAGGAGCTCAGAGAATTTATAAAATTTGCCCAAAGCTCCATTGTTAACTTCAGTTTCAGCCTAGCCCAGCTTAAACCCAGTTCCATCCATAGTCCTCCCCACATACCTAGGTCATATATCAGCCCTTATACAGGACTTAGAGGAACTAAGGTTTCCAAATTATTTTTTCTTACCTGATTTTCATCTATTCTGTTTTCCAAAGGCACATGCTTCTCCAGGAGAGGACACGGGTTTCTGGGCATGCTCTGAGTCACTTGCAGTCATCAAATTCGCTGTTCCTGACAATTCCTTCAAACTATATTCATTGCTTAATGGCACCCTGGATGTCTCCTTCAATATTAAGAGTCACATATTAGAGATTAACATGTATTTAGTTTTTTAAGGCTTAGGGTACATTTTACATGCATGTCTTTAAAACTTCAACCCTTGGAAATGTCCAGGGAGTATACATATTAGAGGGGATAGGGCCAATGTGGGTAATGAATCTAAGATTAGAACTCATGCCTTATGGCTCTTTTCTTTAAACTGTCTCTATAATATTGAGAGTGAAGGATATTTGGAAGAGAATAAGGAAATAGTTGGCAGAAACATATCTAGACAATAAATAAAATGGTGATAGAATTTGTAATACCTTACAAAGAACATTTGTTCTTAGATGAGCTGGTTCCCACCAGTTCTGTTTGAATAAGGCTGCATCAGTAGCTAGTTATCTTCAATTTCATGATCTATAACATGCTAATTTTCAATGGTCTAGTGAATGTGCAATTAAATAATGCTCACCCAAGTTTTCTGTGAATTGTGTAATACAGTATGAATGTGAGATTACAGTCCTGCTATCAATTTACCCCTCAGCTCTCTCCATATTTCAAATCTCACAGAAATTACCTTTAGTGTCCATTGACCATCTTCTAGTTTAATTTGTAATTGTGAAATCATTCATTCAGCAAACACTTGGGGGGACCTCAGGGGCCCTAATCTGGGCCTGTGACCTCTGAGAAGCCTCAGGTATGGACCAGCCTCACAAAGAGCTCACAATGCAGAGGCAGGCAGGCTGAACAAATGATTCTAAACAGGATGAGAGTGGCCTCATTGGAACTCAGAGAAAGAAGCTGTTACTTCACCTTACAAGAAACAGCATTTGAAATCAGTTCCAAACAGATGAGTTTCTGTTGAAGAGTGTGTAACCTTTATGAAGACCTCATGTCATTTTATTATTTGTTGTTTCTCAATCATCAAACCTGCCATTGTGGGGGTGGGGGAGATGCTGTCTTTGATTAGAGTGGGAGGCTCTGACCCTGGGGATTTTACATTCTCCTTCATCTGGGACCATCCACTGTACCAACTGACTACACTTTGTACGCTTTCCTTAGTCAGAAGGTCTTAGTGTATCTCTCACTTAAGCATAGCAGAAAAGAACTTTGGTTGAAATCATCAGTCAGATGAATGATGTAATGATGTATGGATAAGACAATGTAAACTTTAGAAAACTATGAAAGTTTATTTTTCTAATTTCTAAAAAAGATTTTATTTTGAGAGCGGGGAAGGGAGGGAGAAAGAGAGGGAGAGAAACATCGATGTGGGAAACATCCATCACTTGCCTCTGGCAGACACCCCAACCGGGAACCTGGCCCCATAACCCAGGCATACGCCCTGATCAGGAATCAAACCAGTGAGCTGGTTTCCTGATCAGGAATCAAACCAGTGTAGGATGACACCCAACTGCATCATGCTGGCTAGGGTAAAACTATAAGTGTTTTAATGAGTTCGTAAGTGGTTTAGAGAAGCAACTATGGGTTAGATTGCACTACCACTGATACTGTGATCTTAGACATACAGTCAAACATTTCTATATCTCTAAAAGCTCACTTTCTTCATCATAAATAGTGATGGTTATAGTACATGCCTCATTGGGTTGTTGTAATGTTTAAGTGAGTTTATTCACATAGAATTCTTGAAGTCTGAAACATTGTGAGAATGAAACAAATGGTAGTTACTATTATTGCTATAGTTATTAACATTTAAGATGATGAGCCCTGGCTGGTGTGGCTCAGTGGAATGAGCACTGGCCTGCAGACTGAAAGGTCACCAGTTCCATTCCTGGTCAGGGCACATGCCTGGGTTGTGCAAGAGGCAAGCTATTCATGCTTCTCTCCCTCTCTTTCTCCCTCAATTTCCCTCTCTCTAAAAAATGTATAAATAAAATCTTTAACAAAAGATGATAATATTGGACAATGTTGTGAAGAGACCAGGAAAGGAAGGCAACAGTTCCTAGTATACTTTCTGGATTTTCCTATTCTTACCTGCGTTTCTATCCATGAGGAAAATTTTCTTGTCAACAGGATCTGGGAAACACTCAACTTCTGGTGTTTACTCTGTTCCCTTCTGAAGGCCACCCAAGATGGTTTCACTGAAAGATGTGGAGAAATCAGTGTTTTGGTTGGTAAATGTTCCTAAAATGTGGAGATTCTTATTAGGGACACAGACTTCTGAATGAGAGTAATCCAAGAACAATCCAAGGATGGATGGAAAATGTTTTCTGGGGTATCATTAAGGCCTATACTTTTACTGGGGTCATCAACTAATTTCATTAGAATGAAAAAAAATAAAGTATCACCTACACTTCCTTCTATGTTCATAAAGCATCTATGATATAAATTGGGGACTTCGGCCAAGATGGAAGCATAGGTAGACACACTGTGCCTCCTCACACAACCAAAATAAGGACAACAATTTAGAAACAAAATAACAACCACAAATGACAGAAAATTGAACTGTATGGAAGTCCAACAATCAAGGAGTTAAAATAGATACATTCATACAGACTGGTAGGAGGAGCGGAGTGGGGCAGCCAGGCCCAGAGGGGCCAGGGCAAGAAAAACCAGTGGCTGCACAAGCCCACCCACATGGGAATCAGCACCAGAAAGGCTCAGTTTGCTAGGGGGAAGCAGCGGAAGGGACTGAAATCTGATAGACAGCAGCAGAGCAAGCACCATTGTTCCCACTCAGACCCTGCCCCCACATAGTGAGTGTCACAAGCTAGCAACTGGGTTGCCCCACCCCAGTGAACATCTAAGGCTTCACCCCTCATACTAACAGGCACAATAAGAGCTGGTGAGGGGGAGGGAATGGCCCAAACAGAAAAACAGATCGAAACTCCAGAGCAAACACAACTAAGCAACCAAGAGATAGTCAACCTATCAGGCACACAGTTCACAGCACTGGTGATCAGGATGCTCAAAGAACTAGTTGATTTTAGTCACATATTAGAGGAACAAATGAAGGCTAAACTAACTGAAATGAAGGGAAATGCACAGGAAACCCATAGTGATGGAAAGAAAGCTGAGACTCAAATAAAGGAAGTGGACCAGAAGGAAGAAAAAACTGACCAAACAGAAAAGGATGAAGAAACAAGAATCAAAGAAATGAGGAGAGGCTTAGGAACCTCCGGGACATCTTTAAACATTCCAGCATCTGAATTATAGGGGTACCAGAAGGGAAAGAGGAAGAGCAACAAGTGGAAAACTTATTTGAACAAATAATAAAAGAGAAATTCCCCAATCTGGCAAAGGACATAGACTTCCAGGAAATCCAGGAAGCTCAGAGAGTCCCCAAGAAGTTGGACCGAGGCGGCTTTCAAGATGGCAATGGAGTAGGACAGAGCAGATACCAGTTCCTAGTACAAAAGGGAGAAAAACCTGTCCGATCGGAGGAAGAGAAGCCAGCAAGCCAGCAGTTGCCAAGCATATATGAAAATAAGGGACCAGAAATCTCGAAGGTCACGGAGGAACCATACTGTAGGGAGACAGCAGCGGTACAGTAGTCTCGGGACGGAGTAAAGAGAAACAGCAGGGATCTCTGCCGGTGCATGACTGGGGGACTAATGCCCAGCAGCGAGTGCCCAACGGCACCTGGGCCAACGTTGAGTGCCCGGATGGCTCCCTCCCTGGGATTTTTTGGCCAGGGCAGCCAAGTGGCCCATGCAAAGAGGAGCGGAAGGGATTTCAGCCTGCGCACAGTTCGGGGGGACTAAGCGCCTGATGCGAAGTGTGTCTGGGCGAATGCCTGACAGCGCCTGGGACAGCAATCAGCGCCCAGACGGGTTCCCCGAGCGGCTCCCTCCCTAGGGTTTTTCTGCAGAGGTTGGCCAGGGTTCTGCGGAGGTTGGCCAGGAGACCCAGACAAACACAGGAGCAGAAGGGATTTCAGCCCGCGCACAGTTCGGGGGATCAGTACACACCACGCAGCGTGCCATGATGTGCGTACAGAATTTCTAGGTCAGCGCCCAGTCCTCAGATCAGCTCCTGGCTTCCAGTCCATCCCCCTCGGACTATCTGGAAGCCCCGGGCACTGAAGGGTCCTGGGGAAAGAGCTGAAACCCTCAACCCCCTCCCTTTCTGGCCAAGCAAGGTGGGGTGCCTGGACAGACTTGTTTGATAGAGTTTGCGGAGAGGGTGCTGAGGACAAAGGGCCCCAACAGAGGACTCTGTGGTTGCCAGCCCAGGAGAACTGATAGGTAGGGCGTGGGGCTCTGAATCCAACAGACACAATAGCCTGGTCTGCTCCACACCCAGCTTGGCAGCAAACCCGAGATTGGGCAGAGGGCCTAGAGCTTCCCCACAGAACAGGGGCAGGTCTGCGCTCAATCCCAAGGGGACCAGGCAACTAGGCTGGTGCAGGCGCCCGCAAGCACCACAAACCAGTCATGGCGGTAACCCCTGGGAGGGGAGCGCTGTGAGGAAGTCCTAGTTCCCCATTGTAGGGAGCTGGGGAGAGGCGCCAAGTGTCTGGTTCCTGAGTGAGGACTGGCAGAAAAATCACAACAATCGACCCTCAGCCAACTTCAGCCAGAAAAACCGGTTTGGCAAGTTTGAAACCAAGTGACATTTCCTTTGTTGTTGTTGTTTTTGGGTTTCTTCCTCTTTATTTTACTTTTATTCTTTTTTTTTTTTACTTTTCTTTCTTTTTCCATTCCTTTTCTTTATCTTTTTGCTTTTTAAAGTAATCTGTTATTTCTTTTAAATTTTATTACTTTATTTCTTTTAAATTTTTAAGACCAGAGCTGGACCCATAGAAGAGGCCTCCCAATAGTAGAGTCAGAGAGACAAATTGCACTTTGCTGTAGGAGAGAAGCAAAAAGTTGCTGCATATTTGAGTAGGTGGAAGCAGAGAACAACAGGATAACCGAAAGAGACTGCACCACTGAAATTCACAGGCATTCCACCACAGAAGTTCACACCATAAACCCAAGAAGTCAAAACAGATTAATCTAAGAAGCTGAGGCTAACAAGAAGAGTCCCACAAACAATGGGAAGACAAAAAAACAATCCCCAAATGAAAGGAAAGGAGGAACCCTCAGAAAGAATGTCAGATGGAATAGAGGCAAGTCAACCATCAGATACTGAATTCAAAGCACTGGTTATCAGGAAGTTCAAAGAGCTCACAACGAGCTACCAGAAACTACAGGGGAGCTATAAAGATCTCACCGCGAACTATATCAACGTGAAAAAGGAAAAGGAAATTAGCAAGGGCCAAGAGGAAATGAAGAATACAATTTCTGAATTGAAAAACACAGTAGAAAGCATTAAAAATAGGGTAGATGAGACAGAAGATTGGATTAGTGAGTTGGAGGACAAAGTAGAAAGCATTTCACAGAAAGAACAGAAAAGGGCAAAGAGGCTCAGAAAGAATGAAGAGGGATTAAGAGAAATGCAAGACAATATGAAACGTAATAATATCTGAATAATAGGAATACCAGAAGGAGAAGAAGAACAAGGGATAGAAAATGTATTCAAAAGAGTAATGAGAGAAAATTTCCCTAATTCGATGAGAGAAAAAGTCACACAAATCCAGGAATCACACAGAGTCCCAATCAAAAGGAACCCAAGGAGGCCCACTTCAAGACACATCATTATTAAAATGGCAAAATTACAAGACAAAGAGAGAATCTTAAAGGCAGCAAGGGAGAAAAAAGGAGTAACACACAAGGGAGCCCCAGTAAGGTTAGCTACTGACTTCTCAATGGAAACACTTCAAGCAAGAAGAGAATGGCAAGAAATATTCCAAGTAATGAGAAACAGAGGACTACAACCAAGACTACTTTACCCAGAAAGGCTCTCAATCAAGATAGAAGGCCAAATAAAGAGCTTTCAAGACAAAAGAAGTGTAAAAGAATATGCTGCCACCAAGCCAGCTCTACAAGAAATACTAAAAGGACTGCTTTAAGAAAAGGAAGGAAAAGAGACAGACAGAGAGGAACACAGATACAAAAATGGCAATGAATAAGTACCTATCAATAATAACTTAAAGTGTAAATGGATTAAATGCTCCAATAAAAGGACACAGAATAGCTGCATGGATAAGAAAGCATGACCCACACATATGCTACAAGAGACCCACCTCAGGACAAAAGACCATCACAAACTAAAAGTGAAAGGCTGGAAACAAATTTTCCAAGAAAATGGACAAGAAGAAGTTGGACCCAAGGAAGAACACACCAAGGCACATCACAATTACATTACCCAAGATTAAAATGAAGGAGAGAATCCTAGAAGCAGCAAGAGATAAGGGGATTGTCACCTACAAAGGAATTCACATCAGACTGTCAGCTGATTTCTCAAAAGAAACCTTAAAGGCAAGAAAGGGCTGGAAAGAGGTATTCCAAGTCATGAAAGGCAATGATGTACATCCAAGATTGCTCTATCCAGCAAAGCTTTCATTTAGAATGGAAGGGCAGACAAAGTGCTTCTCAGATGAGGCCAAGTTAAAGGAGTTCATCATCACCAAGCTCTTATTATATGAAATGTTAAAGGGACTTATCTAAAGCAAAAAAAAAAAAAGAAAAAAAAACATGTTCAGTTAAATGACAGCAAACACAATTATCAACAACCACATCTAAAAGAAAAAAGCACATTAAGCAAACAACTAGAACAGGAACAGAACCACAGAAATGGAGATCACATGGAGGGTTAGCAACAGGGGAGTGGGAGGAGAAGAGGGGGAAAAGGTACAGATAATAAGTAGCATAGACGGTAGGTAGAAAATAGACAGGGGGAGGCTAAGAATAGTAAGAGAAATGTAGAAGCCAAAGAATTTATGTTTGACACATGGAAATGAACTAAAGGAAGGGAATGTGGGTGGGGGGTCCAGAGTGGAGGGGAGTGAAGGGGGGGGAATGGTACAAATGTAATAGCATAATCAATAAAGTATATTTACAAATTTTTAAATAAATAAATTGGCCTCTCCTGACAAAAATGTAATAAAAGTAATGGCACAGAAACTCCATGTCTTTAACATAACCCTTTCTCCTTCTGGTTTTCTTCATTTAAACTGGCCTCGTCCCGGGTAAGGGTACCACGACTACCTTGCCTCCTCTCTGGTATCCTCCCCCCTGTGCACATACAGGCTGGCGTCCACATTCTGATGACCACAGAAACAGAATTCCAGTCAAAGATCACATCTTGCCTTCAGCTGTTTCAGCCCCAGACCCATGAAAGTGGACTGACTCCACCCACCGAACACTCATGATACAGGATGGAACGCGCACCATGGCCGACATTAGGAAATGATATAGGGATCAACCACTTCTGACCCTGGCCCTCTCCCCAGCTCCCATAATCACCACGGTCAATGCTGTTCCCTGTCTGTCTCCGTGCAGGCCATCGGGCAGTGGGGTGTGGGGACACTCCTCACCTGTCAGACCTGCCTTCCTCTCTTGTGACGACAAAAATTCTTAATTAGTTATTTCTTATTCACTTGTATGTTCTTATACATTTGAACACAGGGCTGGATAGGGCGGGG